AACGTAGTTAGTTAGTACGTACTAACAAAATAAACAATACGAGTAGACTAATAAGAACAATACGTACACGTACTACTAAACTAATAGAACACTACCATATATATATATATATATATATATATATATATATATAAATAATGATCATAAATGGTGAAAAGTATATTGTAAAATGAATATTCAAAATAAATAAAAGAATGATTACTCAACTAGCCGAAGGCAACAGACATGCATGAGTCCTCTCATCTGCCTGATTCTTCAACTTATGTTTTCTGTGGAAGTGACTTGTAATTGTGAAAATTGTCAATAAATGTTCCATGTCTTACCCCCCACCATTAACTACCAGTAAAATAAAACAATCCCACCGGAACACCCTCAAATGCTCCTCTGTTGGCAACACCCGATTCGTATAACCCTTGATATTACACTTCATAAATGGCTTCTGAAAAGTCAAGGAAGTTCAGCTGAAATGCCCAAAAGCATACATCTTCGAAAAGTAATATCCTAGGATTCAAAGGCCATTTCGGTGCTTTTCATCCTGTCAGTTCCCACAAGAGATAATCTATCATGGTAGACATCCATATAGCCAAATGCATCTGAACCAGGAGGGCACTCGAGAGCAGCTTCAAGAACTCTATGATGAACTCCATGAGAATCAATTGAATATCCACCTTCATGAGCATGGCCAGATATGCAGGCCTTCACACACTTAAATCTATGAATAATATTCATCACTTCATCATAGTTCCATAATAATGCTTCTTCACATGCAGCACCTGGATCCAGAGGGAGATGGCAGCAAACAACTACTCTCTGTTCGCACATGGTCGCATCTTGGAGGACACCATCCAACCATTCTAATTGTCCCTGTCCAACACCACCATTGAACATCAGAAACCTTCTCTCTAGACCAACCATTCCCATAGGGCTATTCTTATCAATATTTGGGTTTTTCTTATACAGCAAATCCATAGCCTCCAATTGATGAGGGTGACCCTCGGGCCAGCCTATGGCGCTGATATCATAACCATCAAGTACGACAAATCTATAATGTGGTGATGGCGTAAAGTCATAGTATGCATGACCATGGAGAGTGGGTATTTTCAGCAATTCAATCAGATTGTCGCGAGGGAGATTGTAAAGACAATGGTTGCCCAACATATTATAAACAGGGCCCTTGAATTCCTGAAATTCCTCAATGACCTTTTCAACAGCATTCTTAGATTCATGTTTCGGACAAAAGCCATCAACTATATCCCCAAAATGAACAGAAAATTTGAGCTTCCCATGCTCATTCCATTTCTTAACTGCCTTTTGAAGAACCATAATACTATGTCGGTAATATCGAGGGATGCCACGGAATGAACGCCCATCAGGAATGTCAGCATACTGAACATCAGTGATAACTCCAAAAGAGAATAGTGGTTGCTTGACATGTGCATCAACCATTCCATTGGTCAAGGCCATCATATGCAAGTGGAGTATGCACCAGATCACCCACTATGTGTAGGGCACCTGTAGTTGCAGATTCCATTATGACGAAATTGTTGGTATGAGGAGCTCAGATATAACATACATAAAGTTACATGAACAATACTTTCACAAAAATAGCTGTGTGAGTCAGATTTCGCCTATTTAAATAACTAGTGCCTATTAACTGTTTGGCATCCTTAAAACCAAATTTTTAATATTTCTCTCCCCCAAGGGGAAGGTAAGTATCAGTCAAAATCATATCAAATGCACTGTGCACACAATTAACACATCATGTTGGAATGCAAACAAGAGAAAATCTTCCAAAAGTTTAAATTGAATGGAGATCTATTCTTCTGAACAAGACTAATACTATGACACAAAGTTACAAAGCAAAATTAAAGCATCTCCAGACAATGATAACATGGCACCAAAGGAAGAACATATTCCTCACAGTCATCAAATCATGTAAATATTTTAGATGCTCCGAACTTCATGAAATCCATGGGATTAAATGCTCATACTGAGTTAGCTATTCATTTATAGCACCTAGAAATTCATTGATATTCAACATATTATATTAAGAGAACATCCCAACATACATGATAAGAGTTCTTTCCTGATGAAGTACATTTCTTAATACTAAGCTTGTTAGTTAAGAACCCATAAAAGTGGCTGTTCATGAACCATTGCAATGATATGGTCAGATTTGGTTTCCAGAGGATTCCAAGATTAGTCACCAAGCCCACTTAAACGATATTATGAAATAAATGCATCTAAGTTTTCAGCTAATTGAAACCAAATCAGGTTGTTATGGTTGTAAAAAAACCTGTTCAAATTTGAAACACAAAAGCAACACCCCGTCAGTGTATTATCTCAATACAGGAAACAGAACATGTCACCTTCAGGACAAAGGAATCCTGGAGAGGAATTTGGTCTTGCCAATTTAACAGTTACAGTAACAATGTCAACTAGTGGGGTTCAACCTTCCTGTATTAAAAAGAAGCAAGCAAATAACCTATTTAACAAAGGAACTCGCAAAGGTAAGTGCGTAACCTAAAGTTCATATCCAACTGGAATGTGTAACTGTATATCATGCACTTTTCAAAAGTTCCAATGAGCATTACTATAATTGAATAACAGACATCACCCACATCTGAGTAATAGCTTTCCAGTATACATGGGGGAATATTGTGAGACTTGAATGTACATACACTGCAGAAACGGAAGTGTGAATTCTAGTGCAAGGTGAATAAATTTACGAACAGGGCGCAGAAGATATTACCAAGGGAGGGAACTTCTTAAAAGCATGAAGATTCAAAGCAAAAGGCTTTGAAATGTAAAAAGAAATTCATAACAGTGCATAATGTATAAATTATTGTACGAAATAGTCTATCTCAGCAAATCAAGAGATTCAAGACAAATGGCTTCAAATATCAAAGAAAAAGAATTTCAAATTCATTTAACATACATCAAAACCTGATTAGTCAAGAATTTACAGAAAATTTATTAAACTGCAGCCAGCACCTTCAGTTAAATTGATAGCCTAATACACTTGTATACTTGACAACTTGACATAGTTTATATGAACTGAAACAATAGCAAAATAAAAAGGATTGAAACTAGTCAACTGGTCCCTAACCAATTTATTTACCTAAAGGGTAAAGTTTGTAAAGGATAAAGAATTAGGCAGTTTCTTCAATGTCTCCTAAACAAACAGAAGAAAACAACGTCTTTTCATGTCACTTGCCCATTCAGAAATTTCTGTGTTAAGATTCATCTTCCAAACGGCATTATGTCCGCACCCTATTCCGCATTCCACATACAACACCATTGCATATAAAATAATGCATGCACTACACTTACATAAATCAAAAGAAATCAATGAACATTGTATTCATATTCTAATACAAAGATACCCGTGGGCAAGAGAGTGAAAAACGTCAAGAAGGGAGCGATTGAAGTAGGAACGGCTTGCAAAGGGATAAAGGAATATCAGTAGAGATTACTTCCGGTCAGTCGTAAGTAGAGATTACAAAGGCAATGAATGGGTATAAGATTGAGGAGTGAATGCGATAAGGACATATTACAAGAGAGAGGGAAAGGATAAGACAGTTGTAAAGCCAGAAAAGAAGGTTATTGTGCATGCAGGGGAGTTGTAGGGATATATGTCACAAGATAGAAGGAAAGATGTAGGCATTTGTAGCACAAGCAAAGAATATTAATAGGTACTATGGGGAAGCTAGGAAGGAGATATAGAGATCTATAAGGAGAAGAGGAGAATGAGCTGGAAGAGGAAAAATAAAGTGAGATGAGGCGGAAGAGATTGGGGCAGTTGACAGGCATTAATGGTGGTTGGAGTAGCACATCTGGCAGTAGAGAACTAATGAGGGAGGTAAAGATTATAAAGAAGAAATCATAGGGATCAATGATGCCAATATAAAGAGTATAGGAGTTAAGATGACAAGGGAGCAGGATGCAAATTAAGGGGGAGACAAGAACATTTAAAGGAGAGGGGAGATTGGTGGTCATGAAGGCAGAGTGGATAATACAATATGGTTGGAGAACACAGAGTTTTAAGGTATATAATAATCTAACTAAAAGGTATTGCTTGTTTGTTTGCTCCCACTTAGTTGTAGAATAAAAAATAGGAGTCTGTTGAATTTGTTTGTAAAAGAAAAGTAAAAAGGACACTTCATCCACATGCAGTGGGAACATATGTCTGCATAAGCTACTTCCTAAACATATTAAAATGGCAACTCCAATTGCCATTGACTACGGACAGTGTTAGCACCACTCAGATAACAGTTAATCCTAACTTTCATCATAAGCTGAAACATAACGAAGCATATTCATACTTCCTTTGCCCATACTTCACTTTTAGGGAAACTTCTTCCCACATATGACGGGTGAGATTATATAAGGATAGCACCTTCACCATTGTAAAGATTATTGTGGCAGTCAACAAGTTCAAACATAAGGTACCACTTTGCAGATTATAACTAGTTGATTTCCCTAAATGACCATCCAATGTCAAAACTGAGAGTGTCATTTGTATTGTACTTTTATTTCATAAGGACAAGAATGTGACTGTGTGTTTATATGTAAGTTACACTCATCGTGCAGTTGCAAAGGCAAACAACACAGTTTTTCCCAAAGAATTTGGAAAGTAGCCCTATGGGCTTCATTATTTTAAAATGAGAATGTTTTCTTCTCATCCTCTTGCTTTGAACTTTTGAACCATATTAGGAAAGTCACAAGAAATACAACAAAATCATGGTGAACCCTTGGAATGGACTGAATGCTCATGAAGCAAGGTTTAAAACTGAGTCAAGTCAGACTTGGCACCTTGCCGAGATGAGTCCCGGGTTCAAATCCAAGAATATAAGATAAATCAAAAAACTTTAAATATTGTATATTTGTTTTACTAAATTAATGTATAAATATGGTTATATATGTGTGTGTGTGTGTGTGTTTTTTGTGTGTGTATGTGTGTGTGCGTGCGATTTTGAAGATGATTTGTGAGTTCTTCTAATCATATGCTCTATTTTCCTATGGTCCTCTTTTTTGGATTTTTTCTGGAGTGCTTCGAACTATAAATCATTGTGAGTTCTTCTAATCATATGCTTTACTTTATTATGGTCCCCATTTTGGATTTTTTCTTGAGTGCTACAAGCTATAAATCGTTTTTTTTCCAAATTCCATCTTTTATACAATTTTCTCCATCTTTGTTAGACTTTGAATTTTTGTTTTTTTAATGTTTAGTTTTCTTTTACTTATTTTTAATTTTTAGCCTTTTTTTAAATTTGATTCAATTTTTTAGACTTTTTGAGCTTGCACATGACTCGAACAAGTCCACTCAGACCCACCCAACTTATTCGGCTCAGCCTGTGGCCGGGTCCCGAGCTCAGTCCAAGGTTTTGATCATTGACATGAAGTTAACATTTTCGAAAGACAGCTTTGTAGCCTACTGGGATACAATACCCAAGTCATCCCTTAAGAAAAGCCCTCTTGGATATCAGATGTCATTTCTATAAATTTCAGAACTGTATTATAATCAACAAAACATATTTAAAATTAATCTATCACTACAAAATTACAGAATTTGTCACAAAACATATTTAAAATGACCTACCACTACAAAATTTCATTGTATACAGAATTTGTCTCACATTTATAAAGAAAAATCTATTATCCACTGGTTCTGATCAACTAATCATCCCCTTTACTAATACTACCATTCGGCACTGATTAATGCCTCATCCATTCTAATAAGCATATAACTCATTATATCTACGATAGTGGCTCTCTTTTCAGATAAATATAGAGATCCGAAATGAAATAAAACAGTTCACTGTGATATCGTTCTTCTCATAAATTAAGGATCTCAAAAGGCAAGAAGCCCTCAAAGTCCCCCCAAATTTAAAAATCAGCTATTAAAAAGAGAGAATCTTAGTAAACATTCTGGTTAGAACCATATTTGATTTTGGAAGGACAAGACAATTGAATCTAAATCCCTATGTTTCACGTGATCTAGTTACAATAAGGTTTTCACCACAAAGGTTACATCATCGAGTCACGCATACCTTATATGCTGCGAAGCACTCAAAGGTTGTCCTAGCTCCTAAAATTGATGGCATGGATTGCTCTTGAAAAGAAAATCCATGAGAGAAACAGTTAGTTTTTTACTACTTTCCAATTGTATCATCCTTAAAAAAATAGAGAAAACTATGTTCTATTCAACCATAATTTCCCTTTGCTTTGTACAGTTGAATCTCTTGTCAATTATTATGACCAGTTAAGCAATTGCTCAATTTATAGCATGCCCTCAAAAAATGCAGCTAACCTAACACTCCTGAAGCTTGGGGACTCATTCTTCATAAAAGTCATGTGCCAAATCTAGGGGAACATAGTTTTTCAATGGAAATTATACTCTTGAACTACATATCAGGAAAATGTTTCAATATTACACGTGACATAAATGGAAATAGAAGTTTAAGACTGTGTGACATAAATGGAAATAGAAGTTTATGAACACACACACGCAATATAAAAAGTACAAAAAAAATAAGAAGCAGGCTTTAATACTCAGCTTTGACAAATAAAAAAAAATGAAATCCCACTTTTGAGTAATTTATTTATTTAGGTTTAGTTCATTACAGTGGAGTTGGCTCCTAAGCCACCTAGGTCTTAGCCCAAGCATAAGTTACGAACCAAGGATCACCGCATCACAAAAGAGTATTCTGTGGCCCCTTGCCTTTCCAGGAGACTTGACATGACAAGAACCATCGGCACCCATAGGAGGTTTATCTATAAACTAAAGAGACCACAGATACTCCTAGGAACTTGAATTTTATATTGTATTATCTAACAACAAAGAAAAGAGTCTAGCCAAAACTGTAGCTGCTAAGCAGCTACTTAAACAACAATTGCTGTCAAAAGGGTATGAAACCATGCTGACCAACCTGCTGAACTTGGCTCTGGTTGACGTGAGCTTGTACAGTCTGCCTAAGTCCTCGGACCAAGACATGAACAAGAACCAGGTCCTACAGCTGATTTTTACTCAAATCCCTAAAAACAGAAGCAGCAGAGCCTTATGTGTGGTTTTCCATATGATCAAATGGCTCATCTCAGTAAGAAGTGATCCATGGCTCTGAGGGTCAAACCTATACTAGTTATATAAGTTCAATTTTTACAAGACCGTGCTCAGAAAACAATTTACATATTTAATATTGGGAACGTGTGGAAGAAGGTATGGTAGCAGGTGTTTACACTTTCATAAAGAAGTGTCAACAACTATAAAATAGATTAATATACAAAACTAAATCAACTGAATTCGAGAACTGACTAGAACAAGAAACTGGCTGGGTCAACCAGAACAATACACTAATCTGTTCAATGTCTGACCTTGCTTTAGTAACATGTATTAGAACTATCTATTGGCTATCATTGTGGTAGAAGGAAGAAGTATTATGGATACAACACAAAGGGAACCCACAACCTGGATGCTAAGATCGAAAAAACAAAACTTTGGCCTCTAACATGCCATTCACCTCACTCATTTAAGCAAGAGATATATGAATATCTTAAGCGCCAGAGTTCACATCCATCCATAAGGAAAGACATATCCTAAAGAAACTTAGAAAGGAGGGATTCCCCCTACCCCCTACATAGTGAATCATTCAATAAAAAATTTCACCCATTAATTCAAAAGTTTCGAAAGACATATTGGGCATCACATGCCAACAGAGTTCAATCTATGAAAATCTAATCCTTCCATTCATGAAGGACTGAAGCATCAGCAACCAATCTTCCGTAAATTCAAATTCGAATAACAACAAACACGATTAAAACAAGGGATCAATGAGTTAACATGAGTAACAAAGATTCAACAAAATCTACAATTATAGCTCCTCCACAAGAAAATCCAACAACAGTAACATACACTATCCCCAAAACTCATCCTAAAAGGAAATTCGAGCAAGACACTTTGATCATGCATGTCTACTAATTAAAACAAGGGTCTCCAGAGTGATTACATTCCTTAGAAGCTGAATCGGATAACATCACAAAACACAAACCGAACCCGACTTCACAAACTAAGAATCACTAATATTCTAATAATGCATTGCCCTCAATTGAGTTAAAAGATTCTTATAGTGCAAATATCCACTGTTTTCCCAACGAAACTACCGATTAAAGAATGGTGAAAGAAACTAAAATGGCAAGGAAAAAGAATTTAAACATTGAAGGCCTTACACGCAGAGAGGCTTTATGCTCTGACAAAATGGAGAGATGGAAAACTTTACTTATGATGGAATGAGGCCATTGCTGAGGATGACATAGAGCTCCGAAGTAGCAGAAGGAAATACCAGAATCGAAAAACCGCAAGAGGAGTATAAGACAAATATTTAATTTAAGGAGGAATTAAGAGAGAGACGGTGGAATTCAGAAACGAGGGGGAGTCGTGTAGGTTGCTTACGGTTTCGTTGGGAACGGGTGAGTGGTCTCGGTGGTAGATATGGGTCTAAGATTCCTTTCCAACTACTAACGTATTAAAAAGTTATTAATTATTTTTAAAACTACTGAAAAAGGTTGCGGTTTGTATAGAGCGCCTCTAAACAATCAAATTAGAACCTATCTTCAAATAGTATCGAGAAATGTGGTTTCTTTATTAAAGATCTTTGTGGTAGCCTTAAAATATATTTTTACATTTATTTATAAAAATTAAAGCTTTAAATATATAGTAGATCGACATATCTATGAAAATCTTGAAAATCGACAGTCCAAAATTACGTTACGAAATATACTATTTTCAAAACTTGAAATCTATTTTGTTTCGTGTCCATGCATTTTGATGTCGAGATGATCAATTGGATATATTTGGGAATCAAAACAACCTCTTCTAATAAATTTTTTAAGAAAGGCTCAAATTTGATTGTTTAGAGCCTTGGCTCTATATAAACTTTTCCCATTAAAAAGCCATTAATTATTTTTAAAAATGGGTATTAGCTACTGGTGAAAGATTTCATTCCTACAACATATTAAAAAACCATTAATTATTTTAAAAAATACTAACATATTAAAAAAGCCATTAATTATTTTAAAAAAAGATAAGGCCTGTATTCCTCATTGATCTACCAAAAAAAATATGGTTTCATTAGATTTTGATGGGTGATAGGAGAGAGGGCACACGATGGGTACTAGGACAAGATTTCTATGCTTCCACTAGAGCATAAGACTTATATACTTCCCTGTATCCAACCGTCCATTCTAAATGCAGAGCTAAGATTGCCCCAATCACAATGTCATGTCTATACATTATTTTATTTTTAATTTTTTTTTTATATAAACTATTGTGATACCAAATATTGGACGTCCAATCCTCAAATTAACTTGCACCAGTAAAAAAAATAAAAAAAAATATTTTCGATAAAATAAAATGATCAAAATACCCCTGAAAGTTTCAAGGGGTATTTTGGTGATTATATTTTATCAAAAAAATATTTTTAATATTTTCTATAGGTACGCCTCAATGAAAAGATGGCACGTGCCAAATTTCATATTCATACAATTAGTATAAAAAAAACTAAAAATAAAATACTTTGAGACATTGGATCTAAGATCAAACAATGAGTGGCTCTCTTGATCAAATTGGACGGTTGGATAGTAGGGGAAGCATAGATCTTCTATGCTCTAAGAAAACTATAGAAACCTTTTTCTTTAGAGGTACGGCCCACTGATCTACCCAATAGGTGACGAGAAAAGAGGGCACATGAATGGTATTTAGTGATGTGGGCAAAATATTGACACCAGCATCTCAAGATAAGAAAGAAGGTACGAGTTGGTTGAAGGTCGAGCTCAATAAAAAGGGGTTAGGTGCCGAGAAATAGGAAGGGTGCTCCTCCAATTGGAGCTCAGATAGATACAAGTTGGTCCAAGGTCGAGCTCAAAAAAAAAAAAGGTACGTAATGCTGGCAAAAATAAAAATAAAAAAAATTTGAGAGAGGTAGTCCACCTTGATATCTTTTCACAAGTATTCCTGTATTCTCCAATCCCCTCTTTTTATAATAAAAAAAAAAACTATTCTTTTTAAATATAAGAAATAAAACACAAAAAAAAAAAAGCTTAAATAAGGTTGCAATCTTAAAATGTAGAATTAAAGATGCACCTCAAAAATCCATCATAAAAGGTTGTTTGGATGCTAGAAAATTCTCAAATTGATCATTTCGATCTCGATATCAATATGTATGAATATAAAAAGAAAAAAAAATTTCGATTCCGTAAAATAGTGTATATTGCAACATATTATCTGGATTGTCCATTTTTAATATTTTCATATACGTATAGATCTACCTGATTTGAACAATTTTTAAAGTTTAAAATTTTATAATTAGAGATGAAATTAGATTTTCAAACCATCCTAAGAATTTTCTATATCCAAATTATGTTTATGACAAAATTTAGAGGTGCGCTTTAATTGGATTGTTTAAGGTCTTTATGCAAACCACAACCTTAGATCAAAAGTTATTGGGTTATTATTTTTTAAACGTTTGAAAGTTATTGATGTATTGTTAATATTATAACTTAATAATAATAATAATAATTTGCTTCCACTTTCCAGTATTATGGTTACTTAGAATAGTTATTCAATTAATCGATAATAATATTTTATTTAGTCATGTCTTCTCTTATGCATATTGGGTCTTTGCTACTTCTAGCATTCACCTCTTCTTTAATAGATATAAATTTCTTTCAAATTTAAAATATTTGTAAATGGCATTGTATACACTGAGACTATTTACCAAAAGCTATAAGGGGGCTCATAATTACTTGCAACTATCCTATCAGAAATCTTGTGGCTTAAGTATGCCACAAAATTCAAAAAAATTTTCTTGAATTTTGAGCTTGGTTCATAAAATAAATGTAACCACCCAACTTTGTATCAAAAGTAAATGGTCTCATTATACACTTTTTTTTTGTAAATTATCTCAAATTCATCTTCAAGATGCTCAAAAAAACACTACAAAACATACCTTCAATAATCTACTACATAAACTGATGTCAAATATTCTTAAGCCCTGTCAAAACATATCATCTCAAATAACCATCACATTTGTAATTACCATCTCAATAAAGCCATCACAAACAACCATCTTAATTTTAAGATTCCATAAAATGCAGTATATAACCACCCCGCACCTTCGGCTGTGTTCGTGTTCCTTGAGTCATTTAGATGCAAACCAAATGACTGTAACAACATCCACAAAGAATGAAAAAAAAAAAAAAAACATAAAATGGTGAGAGCTCAAAGAATAGTGAAACCATGAGTGAAAGCAATATGCGCACACCATTTACATATCTACGGTCTATATCTATAACCTTTAAAAGGAATGCAAGACCATCATTTTTAATGTAGCAAAGTTATATTAAAGAAATGCAAGGAATCATTACCTCCATAGTTCCCCTTGTATTATTGCATTTCTCAGCCTCATATGCACAACAAGAACAAGAACAATAATTGAATGAAAAACTTGTAATATGTTTGCTTAAAGGTTGAGGATGAAATGAGGACATAGGGATTAAATTGCTTGACCTAGGGTTTTATAGAGTTTTGACCTATTTAGTGTTCAGGGGACCTAAGTCATAGTTTCTAAAAGGTCTAGGGCTATGCTAGAGCTCTTCGAAGTTAGAACTAGGCTCAATCTTGGGACACCTCTAAAGGCTTTAGCTCTCAAGGTTTCGAAATTATCAACTCTAAATCTATTTTCTCTTCGAACAAGATAAAAAAAGGACAATTATATAGTGAATGGTTCGTTTTCCACCCCTAACATTTAAAAATAAAATAAAATAATCTCTTGCCAAAATCTGGTCCAAATTGGGCAGGTAATTTCTCTGCCAACATGATGTGTGTTGTTGTCAATGTGACACTTTACATGCCTATTCCTAATCAAGATCGATTTCAAGCATTTGGGATTTGAACTTCTTGAAGAATAACCCAATCTTTCTCATCCCAAATTTTGATGCCAATCTGGATCTTAAACCTAGTGTGGATCCAATTCTTCTCGGTCATCAACATTTGAGCTTTATCCTAACTATTTGAGATCATCCACATGAATCGTATTCCGCCATTCTACTTTAACAAGGGCCATATCCTCAACTTCACCATAAGTCTCTATATCTCTTCTCACTACTTCTATCAATGTCGTTTTAAGTCTTTCCCTTGCCCTAATTAGTGTCTTACACTTGAACCAAATAGTCATATCTAACTGGTGTCATTCTAGGATGACACTGCACATAGTCAAATCACTTAAATCTACTTCCTCTCATCTTATCGCATATTAGAGCCACGTGTCATGTGTTCTTTCTACACTTTCTTGTCTTGCCACTTATCCGATTCTTTTCATATTAATGAAACTAAGCATTCTTGGACAATCCTAATATCAGCTGAATTTATATCCTAACAAAAAATTTTGAAATGGATTAGAACTTCTATAGGCTTCTTTTAAATTTTGTTGTGCACTTGTTTGGCTCTACCAATGTGATACGTGTTGACGTCAACATGATAGGCAATGGTGGAGTATGCAAAGTCAAAATGGGTTATCTTCTGAACCACCAAGCCATTGTGGGCCAAATCAAGGATTCTTTGTGAATATGTTTTTGTTGAATTTTGGGAAAGCCCATAAGGATATGCATAGAAACAATGAGAAAAATGTAGACAACTCAATTCCACTGAGGGAACTATAGAAAACTGGAGATCCCTGGGGTAGTCACCATAAGCCACGAAACTATCCAAAGTCCCACAACAAGTACCCTAACATCTAAACCGCTCTGTACAAGTTCGCCACAAAGACTCGCCCTAAGCCTGGAACTCTAGGAAGACCCATAATATGCCAAGAATGGCCCCAATATGAGAAAAGATCTGAAACAAACTCCCTGGAATCGGTGAAGAATGAGCTTGATTCTAACGACCCCATCAACAATGCCAATGCTAGGGGTGTTAGTCGCAATAAAAATAATAACAAATAAATAAAATTTAAATTGATAAACAACTTACTCGGATCTGTCCTTAAATCACATGAGGGACCTAAGGTTTCATACCAAATCCTATTGACCTAGCCATCCGATGACAAACAACCTTGAGCACCCTCTTTAGTGAATTTCATTCACCTCTTTTCTATCCTTCTATGTCTTTTTTAGAGGGGTTAACCTCCTTTTATAGATAACACTTATATTTAGTAACTCTCACATTCATAAGAGTTGAGATCCAAGTGTAACTCAGGCCTTAATTCCCTTAAGTGCAGCTAATTAGGATTAACAAGTTGTCACCAAATTGTTAATCCTATGTATTGAGCTAAATATTTCATAAGTCCACTAATGACTCCTATAATAGATTGTTATCCAAACATTCCCACAATTTACAAGGAATCCAAACACACCACTGGATTTTCCCTCCAGTGATACCGGGTTTTCCCTCCAGTGATACATCCTATTTGAGTTAAA